TATCGCCTATGTTGAGTATTGGTTGTAACCAAGTGAGCTATAACTAATGTACGAGTTGATTAATCGTTCAAATATACTGCGTTATACCTATCGCATGAGTTGATTCCTAGTTTGAAACGAGTGCTTGAAGCTATCGCATGTTTTGACTAATATTTAGAAACCAGTTTTTAGCTATCGCATAAGCTGATTTATGGTTGGGATCTAGTGCGCGTAAATTATGGTATAAGGTATTACATGCGTTGACTGTTTGTTTAAAATTCCTTGAATTGTAGCTAACGCTTGACCTGATTGATGGTTGAAATCAACAAAGCTATAGCTATTTAGGCGGTCTCAGATGATTTAGATCAAGTATAAGCATAACTGTCAAATGCATTAGTTGCTGGGAAACTTTGTAACTTATTCTTTTTTATTGGGGTATTTTCTCTTTTAGTGTAACTGACACGATGCTTTCACATGCAGTGCAACTAACAATAAAAAAAACTTAGGAACTCTGTTTCTACACCTTGAGGTCTATTGTTTTCATCTGGCTAAAGAATCGACATCACAGAATTCTGGACAAGCCCACATAAGCTCCGTCTCTCCCCTCAAACAAGCAGAGAAACGTAAGCATACTCATGGTAACAGCTGTCACCTAGTTAACTACTCTTCGTGCCTTTCGTCTGTGCTTCGAGCGGCGCCCACAGACAACAGACACTGTTTCTCTACAATATTCTCTCTAGGTGCGGGTTTAGAATAGTTTGTTGATGTACTTCCTGAGTCGATGTTAGTTCGATATTTAAGAGAAATCAATCGGTAAACAAAGATGACACTATCAACCCTGGTTTGAGGATCATCGTTAGACTGAGAAACTTTCCTAGTACAAGATCCAGGCCAAAATGTCAAGGACAATTTTCTTATCTCATTCGTGATTCAGTAAGGTAACCATAGGGCCGGTTGGTATATGCGTTAGCCTCTGCGCCAACGTTCTTTCCAAGTATGATTTTACATGTCACAACTCAATCGCAACAGGGAGCCACCGTGGTTAAGCGGCTAGGCGCTCACACGAGGATCTGAAGATCATGGGTTTGAGTTCGAAAGTAACCGGACATATTTTACCTCCAGCAATGACCTTCACTGCCAGTTAGACAATGCCTTGAGTGAGTACCAGTTTCAAGTCCTGGAAAGTAAAGGCGGCAGTCGTGATGTTGGCCACATCACCCACCGAGTGAAGATTGGTCTATAAAATATAGGTCTAACGCCTGAATGCGTGAAAGCAAGTTAAATTTTTTTTAAAAATGTTTTGTTCGAATGATTTCACAAATAATTGCCGCTGTTGCACTGGGCGTCGGCGACAGTGGCTTATTGGTTACAAAGCCACTTTGTTATTCCAAGGCACCGGTTTCGGTACCTGACAATTCTGCTGCTGGTTCTGTAAGGATTGAAAGATTAGACAAATAAACAGCACATTTTAATACTAGACATCTTAGATAAATAAAGTGTACACTCTACCCACAACTCGACAGATTACAAACATAAAGTGTACACTCTACTACTGGACAGATTACACACATAAACAGTACACTCTACTACTGGACAGATTACACAAATAAACAGTACACTGTACTACTGAAACGATTTCACCATCAGCTGTAACTGAGCTCTGGGACAAACTTGTTGACTGTCGAGAAACAACGACTGTGCAGACGAACAAACCAATATGCCAACCTTGACGATTTAATCGTCCCGACCCACAATGCTTTAATTTTTTACAGATAACCGGTTATCTTTCAGTCGTAACTGGAGTTACTAACAGTACTGCTTACTTAGTGTCACTAACACCACTCGTGTGCATGAAAATATTAGGCATTACTTCACTGCATGCAACACTTTTATAGGGGATAGCCAAACGGTCTGTCCCAAAGGGTATGCTTTAGCCGCATATCAGAATCTTTTTTAACTGAAGTTGGTGTATAAATAGAGCACGGAAAATTGGAAACGTCACTTTCTTGGGTAAACTATTCTGAGAATATATTACAGGTTAGTAATTTAATTTGGTAGTTTTAGATAGAAGTCAAAAACAACTCGACTGTATTTGAACCACGAAGGCGCATTAAAAAAAAAAGAAACTTATGCTTACTGACTGGATAGTTTTGTGTTCGATTTCCGTTAAACCAATATATTCTTCAATTGATTAAGGATCTGAGGTCAATCCAGTCAAAAATAGGTACGAAATTGCTGCAGGAAGTGTCAAGTCTGACTGTCGATTGGTTAAACATATTTAGATAACACTATGTTACATCACCTTGTTCTTCTTCTTCAGCATTCCAAGCCCTCGAACCCAATGCTGAAGATATCACCCACCTATCTGTGATTGGTTTTCTCTTTCTTGTTGATGACTCCAAGTGACTGCAGGTCTGACCGCATTGTATCTCTCCACGCACTCTTGGTCTGCCTCGTGGTCTATTACCATTCCACGCTTTTGCGTCTGTATTGTTTGTCTCCGTGTTTTATGCCATTCTGTCTACATGCCCCTGCTATTTCAGTCAGTCAACCCTCACCTTGTCTTTGATCAGTAGGGATTTAAACAGAGTGTGACCTTCGTTGTAGCTTCTCACTCTCCTTTTTCTATCGCAGATTGTAACTTAGATATCTTCAAAAATTCATCGTAAGACCCTGTTCTCAATAGATTGTAATAAGGTTTCGTCTCTCTCATTTGTACGCCAGGTTTCAGAGACATATAGGACATTTAGTTTTATCTGTGTTGTATGTAATGCGATGTTAGTGTTATGAGATGAAGCATGAATATTTGTTCCTTGGCTCAATGTAGTTGTTCTATTTATTATTATTATCACCATTATCACCATACAGAAGCAATTCAGATAGTGCAGTGATGATAATAGAATAAAACAGTGATTAAAGAATGTCAGTAAACATCACATTTAGTTAATAAGTGTCGGAAAGTAGTGGCCAGTATACTCTGCCATTGTTGTTCTTAGTGTGGTTTTGTCGATAAAAGCTTCGGACAAAACGTCCGATTTGTGTGTGTGTGTGTGTGTGTGTGTGTGTGTGTGAGAGAGAGAGAGAGAGAGAGAGAGAGAGAGAGAGAGTGTGTGTGTGTGTGTTCGTAAAACAAAAATAATGTATACCGACACGAGTTTTTAAAAAAAGAATTAATGAAGAAATTGATAATGTTACAAACTTCGAATACTTAGGGTTTATAATTTAAAAAAAAAGTAACGGTAAAGTCGGGAGATGTGAACCAGCGTCATTGCACACGATTATAAACCATAAGTGCTCTGCCACCAGTACGGACAACTGATAAGCTGTCCACCAGTGTCGCTTTGGCTAGTAGACAATTTATTGTCTCGGAAAATGAAATAGTTGGGCAAAACCAAACGCCACGCTGGTCACTCTTCATGTAAGCACTTCAACGCACTTGTGAGATTAGTCACTGTTCAAGTATATACATTAATGCACTAGAGAGATTAGAAGACATCATACCAGGAATAAAGAGCAGGGACCGACCATCACAATGATGGGCATAGGATAGGAGTGGATAGGACAGTGCAAGAGGCAGGAGAGCTTGTGAGAGACAAAGTGCCTTTCAGTAAAACCGCGATGAGAGCGACGTTCTGCAAAGAAACTCCTAGATGATGAAGTGTTTCTTTTTCAGTTCCACTTTGTTTCGATAAACTTCTCAGCCACACAATTAAACTGTTGGTATTAGCTTGACTGCAGTCACTCCACCTCTCATTCTTATACAGTTGTATCGCTGGACAACATCCTTGAGAAGCCACATGTAAGATGTCCTATCCCCAATACAGAAAATAATTATATAAAATATTTTTTTTTTTTAATTATTAATATTATTTAAGATTTAAATGAACATTGATAAAAACTCTCGAAACAAGTAAAATTAGGAGCTATATAGAACTTGAAGATCAGTATATTGTAGAATATCTGGGAGGAAGAAAGAGTAAACGGTCCATGCTTAGTCTCGACCGAGTAGCCAGTCCTACAAAATGGAGTAGTCGAGGTGACGCCCAAGTGTCATCGTCCTTTCTTACTCAATAATGCACATATAAGATAAGTCAATATTTATGTATACACATCAAGGCACCAAGGAGATTTGTCACTCTTCATGTAAGCACTTCATCGCACTTGTGAGATTAGTCACTGTTCAAGTATATACATTAATGCACTAGAGAGATTAGTCACTCCTCATACATACACATCAAAGTATTCGTGATGTTAGTCACTCCTCATACATACACATCAACACACTTGTGATGTTAGTCACTCTTCATACATACACATCAAAGTATCTGTGATGTTAGTCACTCCTCATACATACACATCAACACACTTGTGATGTTAGTCACTCTTCATACATACACATCAAAGTATCTGTGATGTTAGTCACTCCTCATACATACACATCAACACACTTGTGATGTTAGTCACTCTTCATACATACACATCATAGTATTTGTGATGTTAGTTACTCCTCATACATACACATCAACACACTTGTGATGTTAGTCACTCTTCATACATACACATCATAGTATTTGTGATGTTAGTTACTCCTCATACATACACATCAACACACTTGTGATGTTAGTCACTCTTCATACATACACATCATAGTATTTGTGATGTTAGTTACTCCTCATACATACACATCAACACACTTGTGATGTTAGTCACTCTTCATACATACACATCAAAGTATTTGTGATGTTAGTTACTCCTCATACATACACATCAACACACTTGTGATGTTAGTCACTCTTCATACATACACAACAGGACACTTGTGAGATTAGATATTTTTTCATTTATGCCTATCAGTGCACGAGTTATACTATTTTAAATGCACAACAGAACATTATATGTTATCTTATTTCATGTGTTTTTCAGAGTAGAATAAGAAAGCCAAAGAAAAATATTGTTTATCCTTGATGAGTACTTTGTCTTCGTCTAGATTTAAAGCAAAATAACACTGACTCACGTCACAAATGGAGTTGACAACCTGTGTTGTAGCATTTGTGGTGTTTCTGGTCATCTATCTGTGGCTGCATCGATCTGACCCACGGCTTCCCCCAACCCCTGTAAGAGCTCTACCAGTGGTTGGTCATCTCTTCAGTTTGGCTCAAGATACCAGACAGCAGTTTAAACAGTGGAGAAAACAATCTGGGGATATTTTCAGGTAAGTGACTTCTGGAGTATTTCGGCCACATCCATATTTCCCTTCCTTAGTCCGTATAGTGTAGGTGTATTTACAGTACTGACATGTGTTAAATTATTTTTCTCTTTTTTTTCTGTAAATATTACAGCGATGACACAATCACATCGTCATCTCTTTCTCCATCTAATATTCGAGCCCTTGGTGCTTTCATGGCCAAAGCTTTTCCCGCCATCGTGTCGTTTTATTACAGCCAAATAAATCAGCTTTCGCAATAGAATGATGTTTATTAGCCAGTTCTTTTTGATGTTTAGATTTTTTAAGATGTCAATGGTTTTCTTTCTCTAAGCCGAAAGTACTCTCAGAATTGTTCTGTAACATTTCATTTGAAAAGCTCTGGTTTTAATTTTTGAGTGACCAAGTCACAGTCTATGACCCACTTCCAAAAGTTACCGTGAGAAATATTCATGATCTCAGAATGTTGATTTCAACTAAGTGTCATTTCGTGCACAATGAAACACCACAAGCTGATCAGTGAACATCATAATCAGCGGAGTATAAACTGGCATAGCCGAGCACAAGAGGCACACCAGACCTATGAGAAGTCCAGTCAACCAGCGAAGTATTGACACGTTAACCGCCGGTCGCTGATGTGTATGTTGGAAATGAAGAGGAGGATCTGAATGCCTGTAACTGTGTCAAAGTGACCGGGGGATTTGGTCGACGCTCAACACTCAGCGGAGGGGCGAGACTTACACACAGTCAGACTGTTACTGGTAATTTCGTAATCAGAACTTTGCGCTTGCAGCTAAAGATATGGACGGGGCGCTTATGTGAATGTTATGATGTCAACTATTAGCTCTTAACTCATTTTTAATCATCTTAAAGTAATTAAACAACGACATAAAGACACAGACTGGAAAATGTCGCAGATATTACATATGAGTGATACCCAACAATCTTGTAATCTTTAATAGCACGTACCAGTTTGTGTGCTGATGCGTGTGCGCCAACGTCGTCTATCTCCTTTCCAAACATTCTACCAGATGTTACATTTCACTCTTTTTTTTTTTTTTTTCACACACACAAAATGTTGATTGAAGAAATTCTCTTTTCGTAGTGTGACCAACAACAAAATCACCGATTCTTTCTGATGTTTGTAATAAAGCTCTTCTGCTTTTTCTGGTCTCTGTAAAATCGTTAAAAACACTTACTTTGAGTGTCAGAGGAGTTTTGTTGTTGTGTTTTTAAATCACTATTTGTGTAACGCGATGACTATTCCCCCACATGGATCCAGTCTCTCTTGAAAGAAGACACAAAGTTGTTCAAGTATGTGCACGAGTTATTATATAAGATGTTGTAGTTATCACTTTCCAACTTGTATACCAGCCGTATTATTGTTATACTTGTGCCTCCCCAGCTTGTACTTGGGGCAGTCACTGGTGGTTGTACTCAATGGTTACGACCTCATCAAGGAGGCCCTGGTCAAGCAAGCGGAGTTTTTCTCTGACAGGCCACCATTTTTTATAGACACGGTAAGTCTGGGAATTTCGTTGGATAAGAAGCAATGCAAGAAGTTTAGAAAAGTTGAAGATCCGCAGAGATTGCGAAGGAAATTGCAAACAATAAGACATACATTTTGAGAATAAGTGAAAGCAGATGGCCTGCTGAAGGAAGACTGAAGGAAGACTGACACATAATGTAAACACATAAAGTAATTAACTGGTTGTAGTACGTAAGAGTTGAAAGTAAAAGTATGAGTAGCAAAAGCTTCTGTTGCAAGAACACGAAAGACATCATTCAGTATGTCTGCAGCGGAATACAAATGAAAGTAATTTATTTAACCTATCCACTTTTACAGGTTACAGGGGACAGTGGAAAAGGTGTTATTTTCTCCAGTGGTGCCCTATGGAAAGAGCAACGATCCGTCAGTCTATCCATCCTCAGGTCCTTCGGCATGGGAAAGAACGTTTTGGCCGAGAAGATACAAGAAGAAGTTGATTGTTACGTAAAGTGCCTGGCTGGTCTGAAAGAGAAGCCTACAGACATCCGACTGATGACAAACATTAGCACATCCAACATTATCTGCTCCATCTTGATTGGTCGTCGGTTTGAATATGATGACAAGCAATTTCAGGACTTAATCCATAAATTAGGCAACTTGTCCACTGAACAGAGATCAGGCAGTGTAGTTAACTTTTTCCCTTGGCTCAGACATCTTCCTGGAGATATATTTAAAGCAAAAACGTTAGCTATGAGTACAACAGCCATTCTTAAGATGTTGTCTGGAGTTCTGAATGAGAAAAAACGTCAGGTGGTGGTTGACTCCAACGACGTGTGCAACTTTATTGATGCATACATTATTGAACGAAACAAGAGAACACAAGCTGGTGTATCTACCACTCTTGATGATCTGAATTTACTGAAGATCACAAACGATTTATTCTCAGCAGGAACCGAAACCACAAGCACAACAATCTATTGGTGCATACTGTACATGTTAAATTACCCCGAAGTCCAAAAGAAGGTTTATGAGGAAATAAAAGATAAAGTTGGAACAGATCGAACCCCGACCATCCAGGATAAGACTGATTTAACTTATCTAAGGGCTGTTATCATGGAAACTCAACGTCTAGCTAGTATTGTCCCACTTTCTCTGACCCACATGGTTTCAGAGAAAGTGACTCTGCGAGGCTACACTCTGCCTAAAGGAACCTGGATCCTTCCAAACCTGGACTCTGTCCTCCACGACAAGACCACTTGGGGAGAGGACGCCATGAGCTTCCGACCAGAACGATTTATTGACAACGACGGCAAGTTGAAGAACCCTGAACAGTTCATTCCATTCAGTATTGGACGCCGTGCTTGTCTGGGCGAGAGTCTGGCCAAGATGGAACTGTTTCTGTTTCTCTCCAACATGTTCCAGAGATTCCAGTTCCTTCCAGCTGATCCAAGAAGTATTCCTTCACTAGCGTACAGGCCTGCCATAGTTATGACCCCACATGATTACCAGGTCAGGGTTGTAGAAAGGATGTAAGTTGGAAAGTAGGGATCAATTTTAGTTTTTAAAATTAATGCAGCTGTAGTAATAAAATGATGTTTGTTGACATTAATTTTTGTGCTGTCTGAAAACTGAATATCTCTTCCTCTGATGTTAGCTGCATAAATGAATTTAATAGCCATGGGAAGAGGATCTCTAATAAAGGCTATGGGAATAAATGGAAGATATCTCATCCTCCTTCTTCACATTCATTTGCTTTTACTCCGGCAGAAAGTTCTATTTTTTCATCCACCTCTGGACATTTGTCTTGTTCTAGAACCTGAATGGTGCATGCACATCCATTTTACTATCTACTTTTTTTCTATGCAGACTGTTGGTTGATTGACTCCGGAAAGATCTACTCGGACTTTGAAGGAAGCCCCGGTTAGTCGACTCTTACGATATGTTTGTTGGTGCGATAGTGGGTCTGTTCTTGTTTCCCCACAATGGGGTCCTGGACCCACAAAGAGACATATAAGAAATAAAATCAAGAGAAAACTATTCAGCATAAAATCTGTTCTATATTATATATCACAATAGCAAAATATCAAAAGCTTCATACTCATAAAGAGTGTCTTCTAATATCATTCCAAAACATTCACACACAAAAAGGGGTGTACAAACCGAAGTAAACCAAGAACCAGATGGAAAGATTCTATCACAGGAACAACCACATCACGTCTTTACAAGATAAAAAGAGCAAAACCGAAATTCGTGACACTGTACAAGAAAAATGGAAAGAATACTTGAGTTGATGCTACAACTTGACAATGGCTTCACCAAAACTTTTATCTAATTCAATGATAAATGCAGCTACTCAAATCTAGTTATCACATTTCACCAACGGAATATTCACTTTATAAGGACAAGCTGCTCCTGTACACTCAAGTGTTGACTGCCGGATATGGAACACCTAAAGCATTGCAACTGTCATTTCTTCTCAGTCAGTTCCTGAGTGTTCTACTGAATCATAATTTGCATACAAGCTGTAATGCCTCCTCAAATATCCTGCAACAAGACGAGTAAGCGGTACTTCTACTGTTTCAGCAGATTTTGCTTTAAGTGTAGGACTTTGTTGCTACGAAAATTAGAAAGGAGATAAATAAACGGACAGCCCCAAATGGAAAATGGACTGGAAACGTTAAAGGACGACGAGACAGAAAAACGACTTACATAGGCACATGGAACATATGTGGTATTGCCAACAAAGAGCCACAAATAGTGGATTTCATGAAAAGAAAAAATATACACGTCATGGGTCTTGCGGATACAAGAAAGAAAGGATATAATACAAAAGAAATACATGAAAATTATGTTTTATTATGGAGCGGAGTACCCACTAAAGATAGGGCAAAACATGGTGTCGGATTTATACTTCATCCCGAGACAGCAAAATTAATAACAGGAACAGAATTTATATCAGAAAGAATTATTTTAATCAAGTTGACAGAAGGAAGTAAAACTACAACGATTATTCAGATATATGCACCTTGCAACGATAGTTATTCTGAAGAAGAAAAAGAAGACTTTTACGAGAGACTTACGGACACCATCAATAATGTTAAAGAGAAAGAGGACATCATAGTAATGGGAGATTTTAATTGTAGGGTAGGTAAAAGAAGATCACCATGGGAGAGATACCTTGGCCCATTCAGCGACACAACCACAGATTGCAATAGAAATGGAGAACACCTGTTAAACTTGTGTGCTGAACAAGATCTCTACATTACCAACACATTCTACCAACATCGCCAAAGTCAGGTTAAAACGTGGTACAAGTGGAACAACTTAGATCAAGCGTCACAAATTGATTTTATACTAGTCAGACAACGGCAGAAGAGGACGGTAAGAGACTCAAAAGCTGTCCCAAATGCGGGACTGGATTCAGACCATCGCCCAGTAGTTATGAACATATGCAACTCAAATAGAAACAGTCTACATAAACAGAAAACGTGAAGAAATCATCAACACTAAGAAATTAGAGGAAGAGAATATCAAACATGAATTTGAACTAGAAATAACAAAGGCTTTTGCAGATATTGCCAAGGAACCAGTAAGAATTGAAGAAGAATGGGATTATTATAAATCAACCATCACGAAGATATTAAAAGACAAGTGTGGTACCAGAAAGACGGGCAAAGGCAAGAAAAAGGGTACCGCTTGGTGGAATGAAGAAGTCAAAGAAGCAGTGTCAAATAAAAAGAAGATGTTTCAAATATGGTTAAAAACAAAAGACGAAAAGGATTACATTAGGTACAGACTAACTCGAAGAGACACCAAGAGAACAATAAAGAAATCCAAAGAGGAATCATGGAAAAAGTATGGTGAACACCTAACACAGCTATGTACAGAATCACCAAGAGACTTTTATAAGAGTGTGAAAGCGATGCGATTAAGAGAAGAAAGCTTCAATCCAACATCAGTCATAAACGATAAAAATGGAAAACCATTATTCAGCCAAAAAGAAATTAAAAAAAGATGGGAGGAATATTTTAAAGAACTTTTGAACCCGTCGGGAGTACATGAAACAGCAGAATTCCATTCAAGGGCTCCAGATCATCTAGAACCACATATCCTGCGGGATGAAGTAGAGAAAGTTATCAAAACAAGTAAAAGACACAAAGCAGCTTGTATCGACGGAATAACAACAGAAGTCATCCAGGCTGGAGGGGACACTATGATCACCTGGCTGGAGAGAATTTTCAATAGAGCATGGGCAGAGAGAAAAGGTACCAGTGGATTGGCAAAGATCAGTTGTAGTACCTATCTGGAAGAAAAAAAGGAAACAAGAGAGAATGTGGAACTTATAGAGGAATATCTTTTACTAAGTCATGTGGGGGAAAATGTATGCAAAGATCTTAGAAGGTAGGATAAGAGCAAAGGTTGAACCTCTACTGAGTAAAGCACAATTCGGTTTCAGGAAAGGGCGAGGTAGCACTGATGCCATATTTGCACTAAGACAAGTCTGTGAAAAGACACTCGAATACGATAAAGAGCTGAACGTGGTCTTTGTAGATCAAGAGAAGGCATTCGACCGTGTAGACAGAGATGTGCTGTGGAGAATTCTTGACGATTACGGAGTGCAGGGTCAATTATTAGACAACATCAGAGCCCTCTATGAAAAAAGTGAAAGTGCAGTAAGAACATCTAGTGGTCTTTCTGAATGGTTCAAAGTCACAACTGGTGTCAGGCAAGGATGTGTACTGTCACCATTACTTTCATAACATACATGGATAAGATCACTGTAGAAGCAAACCCAGACGTGTATGCTATAAACGAATTACTTTTTGCTGATGATCAAAGCATACTGTATCAAAATGAATATGATCTACAGGAACATCTGACTACTCTCAACAACAGCTGTTTACAACATAATATGAGAATCAGTACAGAAAAAACAGAAGCTATGAAGATCAGCAGAACACACAGGCCACTGAATATAAATGTTGGAAGTGCCAAAATCAAGCAAACCAAAGAGTTCAAATACTTGGGCAGTATATTTACAGAGGATGGAAGAATGGACAGAGAGATAGAAACAAGAATACAGAAAGCAAATGCTGTCACATACCAACTATCACCTCTGCTTAAACATCCAGATATAACCATGAAGACCAAAAAGACAATTGATAAACACCATCTTCATTCCAACACTCTGCTACCAGTGCCAGACATGGACAATCAAACAAGACCCATGAAAAAGAAAAATAGAAGTCTGTGAAATGAAATGTCTAAGAAAAGCAGCGAATAAGACCAGACTAGACAGGATAAAGAATATAGACATTAGAAAACACTGTCAAAACTACACCATGTTTAGACTACATAGAACATCAAAGAATGAAATGGTTTGGACATCTAACCAGGATGAAAAATGATCAAATAACATCACAAATTTTCAACCAAAGAAGCTCAGGATATAAGGCAAGAGGAAGACCAAGGAAACTGTGGATTGACGGGGTCTCCGAAACCTGCCAAAAGCATGGCCTCAGAACATCAGATGCTGCCCGCCTTGCTTATGACAGGAACTTGCATCTCCCCACAACGCTTAGCGGCATACGTGGAAGGAAAAAGTAAAAGTAAGTAGGACTTTGTTCGATACAACATTTTAATTCACGAAAAAGTAATCTTTGAAAATTTGAATAATTTGTAAATACATAAAATTGAATGTTTGTTAATGGCGTTGATAGTTTGTGTGTGTGTGTATGTGTGTGTGTGTGTATGTGTGTGTGTGTGTGTGTGTGTGTGTGTGTGTGTGTTTCTGTGTGTGTCAAAAAGGTCATACTTTAACCCAGCAATACATCTAGCACGTGATAAACAGTTCATATGTTTACAAACCGACTGGTACTCGACGGGTGACGGGTCGACTCCAGGCGATTAGTCTTGACTTCTTCACATTTGCTGGTTTACATTTTAGGTTCCGCTGACCAGCCAGAGTCATTTTTCCCACATCGCCGAGTGCAGAATCGAGCCCGAAACCTTCGGACTAACCAGCTATTATCTAGCCATTACGGTTTTGTAATTGTATTTGAGTGGACCTAATTTCATTGTTAAAATCACGGGATGGGAGCCGCCGTAGCAGGGCCGCTATCTCGAATACTAACAGGCCCTTTTTACCTACTAACGCCCTTCCCTGGACTCATAGACCCTTTCAAACCACACTTTCTTTCATCCGTCATAAAACTATAGGTGTGAGTCCGGAAGTAACTTATAAGTAAAAAATAATTAATTTACATACAATAGGCAGAATTTGGGGACAAGTATGATAAGAAATAAGAAAATGCTGAATACCTGCTAGTCCCTGTTCCAACGTTGCGCAGCAAATTAAATACTCAGTGAATACTTTATTTTTCGAGAAAAAAAAAATTATTACAGAAATAAAAAAATATTAAAATTACTTTTAGTGTTATTCTTCGTTTTTGTTTTGTTTTAATATTAACTTTCCATCACTTTCCTCGCCGTGACAATCATCATGTTCTAGAATGAAAGGTAGGCTTTTTGTC